TACCCCGCACGTGGGCACTCCCCCCATTTGCCCGCTCCCACCTACCTCCAGGCACGTGGCAATCCTCCATTTGCCCCTCCCTACCCGCGCACGTGGCACCCCCCATTTCCCCTCCCCCTACCCCCACACGACCACTCCCCCCCATTGCCCTCCCCCTACGCACTGGCATCCCCCCATTTGCCCTCCCTACCCCCGCACGTGCACATTTCCCCTCCCTGCTCCCGAGAGCACACCCCCTTTCCCACTCCCCCCCCATTGGCCCATTTCTCCTACTCTCCAGCACGTGCACTCCCCCATTTGGCCCTCTCACCCCCCCCGCACCATTTGCCCCTCCCCCTACCTCGCCTGCACTCCCCCATTGCCCCTCCCTACCCCCGCACGTGCACTCCCCCCATTTTGCCCCTCCCCTACCCCGCACGTGGCACCCATTTGGCCCTCCCCCTGCCCCCGCACGTGGACCCCATTTGCCCCTCCCCTACCCCGCATGGCACCCCCCATTGGCACTATTTGCCCTCTCCCCTACCCCGCACGTGGCACTCCCCCTTATGCCCCTCCCCTACCTCCCACGGCACTCCCCCCTAATTGCCCCTCCCCTACCCCCGCACGTGGCACTCCCTCCATTGCCCTCCCCCTCCCCCGCACGTGGCACTCCCCCCAATTTGCCCCTCCCCTACCCCCGCACGTGGCACTCCTCCATTTGCCCCTCCCCTACCCCGCACGTGCACTCCCCATCTGCCCCCCTCTCCCCACGTGCACTCCCCCATTTGCCCCTCCCCCTACCCCGCACGTGGCACTCCTCCATTGCCCCCTTTTCCCTCGCACTCCATTTGCCCCTCCCTCTACCCCGCACGTAGCCTCCATTTTCCCCCTCTACCTCCGCACTGGCACTCCCGCCTCCTTGGCACGTGCACTCCCCCGCACGTGGATTCCCCCCCATTTGCCCCCCCTCCCCCTACGAGGCACTTCCCCCATTTGCCCCTCCCCCTACCCATACACGTGCCCCTCCATCTACATTCCCACCGCCTTAGCCTCCCCACCCCAACCCCACAGCGTGGCACTCCCCCTTTGCCCCTCGACTGCGCCGCCGCACTGGCAGGCGCTGGGCAGGTGGCGCAGCGGCGGAGACACTGCCCCTCACATTCGCTCAGTGGTTGTGGCTCTGCCCTCGTCTGCGTGTGGTTTTGGTGTGGTAGATCCTTCTTGACTTTTCATTTTAATTTCTCTTTTCTTCATTTCTCTCATTCTTTCTTCCTTTTTGATTAACCCTTTTCCCCCCCTCTTCTTTCTCGCGCGGTAGAAGTGGAGAGGGTAGAAAGAGGGGAAGGAAGAGAGAGAGATGGTGATGTGAACGAAGACCCTTTGTGATGCGGGGGATGTGAAGGAGGCTGGAAGGCGTTGGCGGGAAATTCAATTGACTGAAAAAATATAGAAATTCAACCGACGGGAAAACGCTGAACTGGAATCCAATTGACAGGAAAATCGGCATAATGTAACTACTGTTAATGAACCAATATTCTTTGCGGCGGTACAGTGTGCTCTGGTAGAAAAAACAACAACAACTGGAGATGCAGTTCAATAACTAAGCAAAACCGGCAACGAAATTGTGGAGACAAAAGTTGATTCGTGTGTTCGAAGCCTTCAGTCAATTAAGGTAATCTAGGTGATAAGAAATGTATAATCTATTAAAACACACACACGCACACACATACACACAGACGTATACTTGAACACACGCATGCACAGAGACACATACATACGTTTGTGTTAATACTTTACACATTACACAAAATAATTATTTTCTCTTTTAAAGTGAGAAAAATAATATCAGTTTATTGTTGTTTTTATGCTAATTGAATAATTCGAAAGATAAAGTATGTAAAATCAACTTAAAAAGAAACCATAAAAGTGTGGAACGCAAAGTTTTAAAAACTAATTTAAAGGAAAGTTCAGACACGATGGAAGTTTGCCCAAGGAAACGGGTCGAACATGCTCGAAATTTAATCATCAGATCCGAAATGGATACTCAAACGTTATGGTTATTATCATTATTATTATCTCTCTCTCTATTTATATACATACATGAATACAAATACACACGCACACGCGCACTCACACACACACACACACACACAACACACACACACACACACACACAACACACACAACACACACACACACACACACACACATACACACACACACACTATATAATATAATCATATATACACATATATACCACATATATATATATATATACATATAATAATAATAGTTAATATATATATATATTTATATATATATATATATGTATATAGAGAGAGAGAGAGAGAGAGAGAGAGAGAGACACAACACACTTTATGTATACTTGTAAGTATGCTTTCGCTGATGGGTGTACGTGTGTGCGTGCGATAGTTTACACTGACGTGCGTGTGTACTGGCTGCGTGTGACTTAGCTTGCAGCCTGTTCGCCGCGTTAGCCATGCGAACAGGTGCCATCCTCCGCGTTGAAGAACCAGGTGACAGAAGCGAGTGAACTGTGTGGTGGGAGAACCTGCGATGCTGCGTCCTCTCATGTTGGTGGACCCCCTTTACTTCCCTTCCCCCTCCCTCCTTCCCTCCTCCTCTCATGTTTCCGCAAAGCCATGATACAGGTGCCCCTCCCCTCCCCGGCTTTCCCCCTGAACGAACCTCCCCTCTCTCCTACTCCTCCCTCCTGCATACCGTCCCCCCCTCCCCTCCTCTCCTCCCTCTCATACCGCCCTCCCTCATACCGACCCCTCCTTACTTCCCCTCCTCCCTCTCTCTCCCACCTACCCCCTCCTCTCCCTTGTCCACTCCGGTTTAGTCGGTTGCAAATACTCGGAAACGTGATATAGACCCGCCCACCGATCTCCCACCCTGCCCCTCTCCCCTCTACTCACCTTCCCCTTCGTCCCCCCCTCTCTCCCCCTCCTCGTCCCCTCTACTCCCCTCCCTTCCCCTCTACTCTTCCCCTCCCCTCCCCCCTCTCCCCTCTCTCCGTCAACCAGTCAGTCGCATAATCGAGTTATTCGAGAACTTTCCAGGGCTTTGTGTATCATTGAGGGACGGGAATATAATTTCACTGGAAATGAGACAAGTATACACACATACACACATATACAGCATTTTATATAGATAGACAGAGAGACAGATAAATATGTAGACAGATATATATGTATGTATATATCATGTTACATTATGTACACATATTAAATTATGTACACACACACATACACACTCGCACATACATATGCATATGCACACACACACACACGCATATATGTGTGTGTGTGTGTGTAAAAAATAAAAGTGGGGAGTGGAAGGGAAGATATGCAATAACTGAAGAAAAGAAGCAATTCGAAACAATAATTCACATGTCAAGAACGAAGAAGTTGAAAGTAAAAGTAACGAAACCGAACTCGTAATTCAATAAAGGAACAATGAAAAGTCGACAATAAACAAGTCAGTCTTAAGTTTTCGTTGACACGTTTCGCTTTGCAAAATAGTTCTGAAATACCCACGAAAATTTACAGAATAGCTGCATTACACACATCTATTTTTTTTTTTTTTTTTTTTTTTTTTTTCCTTACACACACACACACACACATATGTATCTATTTTTTCCTCTTTTAAGTTACTGAATCCTTAAATAGCCGTGGCAGTAGCAATTAACAGAATATTTTATCATTACAATCATCATTACCATCAATGTTATTGTTACTTATATAAAGTCCTATTAATATTAGCACTATTCTTGCTGCACTGAAATTCATATCATCATTATCATTAGGCCTTCTGATGGCATCAACGCTATCAATTAGTGCAACTATTTCATTATTATGATCGTCAGTAAAACTAATATTATCATCATCTTTATTATAACAATAGCAATAACAGTAATGTGGATAACGTGACCAATACTGCAAAAAAATCTTCAAATGAGAACCATGATAATAATAGCAGCCATGATAAATAATGATTATAATAACAATAATAATCATAGGAATAGCTATCATCCCAATGGGAAATTTTCAAACTAGAAAGAACACTAACAAACAATGATAATAATAACATTACTAACAATTTCAACAACGACAATAACAATCACGAAAAGTCACGACAAACAACACGAAAATACGACACCCGCTAACGACATATTCCCAGTCAAACGACAGTCGTTAAATAAGTCCGGTTTCACATGACACCGAGCTCGTGTTTTGATGTGCTTCACCTGTACTGACACCATCTGACACTCGTTTACCAGGATGTGGGTGTAATTACAATGCTTAGTCATGTTAGTCATATATATTCACTGTACAGGCATCCGCTGTGTACTTCCTCTTACGCCGTTTTCTGTGATGGAAGTGGCCGTGGGAGTTATTTATTAATACGTTTGATCACTTATTGCCATTTTTAAGGGTGATTTGATTTAATTACTTTGATGTGTTTATATGATTGTAGTGTTACGGGAAACAAAACAACACACAAAACAAACAACACACACACACACACACATCACACAAGACACATTCACACACGCACGCACACACACAAAGAAACACACAAAGACAAGGGACACACACAAACAAAGACAAACACAACACACCACACAAAGAACACACACACACAAAGACACGCACAAAGACACACACACGCACACACACACCTTAATCTGAACCTCACAAACAGGCAAAAACACTTACCCTCATAGTCAATTTTTGCTTTAACTCACTCGTGCATCTAATCAACTGTGAAATCGCTGTTTAATATATAGATTCCCGGAGATACAAGGGAAAGAGCACTAACGAATAATAATAATCATAATACTAGTAGTTTCAGCAACGACATAGAAAAATAGAAAAAAAATATAAGAAAAAAACAAAAGTCAAAACATGGCCACAGAACGTAATTTCCGCAAAGTGTCTCCATTTGAGGATTTCCGTGTATATTCTCTCCCATGCATGATCTCCCTAACCTGCGCCTGGTCTTACAAATATTCGGCTGCCCTCCGTCGGCGCCAGCTGGTCTATAAACAGCTGTGACAAGGACGAAGGGATTTTAAAAACACGCCATTTCAGTCCTTATTGCCCACAAATACATTCCGTGCTGGTAGGTTGATATATTCTTGTGTAAATGTGTTTATATTCTGAACGTCTGATAGAAATTGCTCATTCAGAATCCTTATATTCGTAAACATTTCTATTATCGATATTTAGAAGTTCTGGGTTTCATAAGTACTCAGATAGGAATACTACTTCACACAACGAATCCTTTCAGTTACGTAAACATTCATAATTCTCGCGTCGTCCCTCTATTAAAGCACATAAGGCATCCCTTGTTCTTCTTCGCCAGACCATCATAACACCGCCACGTGTATTTAAATTTGTGCTCATTCGAATTCTTTCGTGTTTTTTTTTTTTTTTTTTTTTTTTTTTTTTTTTTTTATCACGGAATGTTTCAAAACGAGAGGTTATTATAACAATACCAACTAGTCGAGTCAGACCGTTCGGAATTGAGGGCGTGGCCAGACCCCCTTCCCCCCCCCCCCTTGGGCGCCTCTGCCACGCCTTTTACTTGTCCAGCACCTACCAAACACCCGAAATAATAAAGTGAAAAATAAAGGAAAGTAATTAAGTAAATTTGCAGATAAAGTAACATATATACGAAAAGTTTAACATCAACCATCATTAACCAGATCTGAATACCGTGTGAACTATGAACATATTTTTCTTATAATGATGAAAAATCTATTGTGATTTGACCTGTTTTGGCTTATTAAGAAAATAATAGTAGCAGTAGTACTAACAGTAACAGTATCAATACTAGTAGTAGCAGTAAAAACAACAGCAGCAGTAGTAGTAATAGTAGTAGTAACAGTAATAGTAATATTAGTAATAGTAATATTAGTATTAGTAATAGTAGTAGTAGTAATAGTAATAGTAGTATAGTAATAGTAAGTAGTAGTATAGTAATAGTAGTATTAGTAATAGTAGTAGTAGTAGTATAGTAATATAGTATAGTATTAGTAAGTAGTAAGTAATAGTAGTATTATTAATAGTAGTAAGTATAGTAATATAGTATAATAGTAGTAGTAGTAGTATTGTAAGGTGGGGTAAGTTGCCTCCCTTAAGAAAAAAACACGTCTAGTGGTTATGTATTTTTCAGTTTGATTTTTTAAAAGCTTACATGAAGCACCATTTACAATTCACTCAACAGCAGGTCATCACATGGAGTAACACGCACATGTGTGGGCCTTATACCTCATTACAGCTTATAACATTCAAAGTCATAATCAATTGAACGATAGCTTTATTTTGACTTTCATAAGGAAAATAAATGCATTTTCTGTTTTTAACAAAATTATCATATATACTTATGCTTACAATCGAACTTAATTTATATGCCTCTTTATGAAAATGGATTAACTAAAAATCTTCGTCAACTGAGTACAGCATCAATGCGTTTAAGAAACAAAATATACTGAATTTGATAATAAAATCATAAAGCATAAGTAAATATCTCCAGTTGTGCATTCTTCATGTGCCCAGTTTGCACAGGACATGCACTGGATCCACTTTTCTGAGGGTCTACTATTGGCAAAGGGCTCTCCTCGTACTAAATAGGGCCATT